ATATATATATATAATTTGTTGTAATTTAATATTATATGTGTAACAAGTTACTTTTAATTAATTCTATTGGTATGACCACTTCAAATTTTATCATTAGATGTATTATTTTCTTAATTTGTTATATATTTCAAATGTATTGACATCTTATATGTCACTTGACGTTCAAAATTTATTTGGTGTTGAATTATTTTTTTATTGTGCATTTAAAACAATTTTTATGTGCATTTTGAACATCTTTTTTATTGTTCATGAATTATTTAATTTTTTTATTTTTTGTATGTCTTAATCATTTAAAGTATTTTTGTTGTTTATTTCATGTTGTATTATGCTTTTTTGTTGCATTTGATATGTGTTGTATCTTGTGTATTTGTAATATATTCTTTTCATTTTATGTATATGTTTCTTAGATATTTTTAATTTTATTTCTCTAGATTATTTTGTAGATTATCAAATAAGGAGAGATTGCAGTTTTTCTGCCTCCTAGGGTTTGTTCGTTTATGTTTTGTTATTTGTCAATTTGGTATATTGGTTTCTGGTGAAGATTGAGTCTTCTCACATTGTTCAGCATTATAAGGTTGATTGCTAAATCATTTTTACACATGCATAAATCAAATATTTTTTAAAGTCAAGGCAATATGATCTTAGTCAATTAGTCTGAGGTATGGACCAAGAAACAAATGAGAGCATGATTCAAATCATGTCAAGTCTGATAGACTTAACTAAATCGAATAGACATAAATTATAGAATATTATATATATTAAAGAATAATCAATAATAATATGAACGGTGTACCTTGTAAGGTTCTAGAGATTGTCGAAGTACCTTTTAGGATTATAGAGATTACCGTCGGAGAGTATAAGAGGATTACTACCATTGTCATTGTGGGTTTCAGAGTATATTAATTGTTTAATGGGACAACGCTTAAATAGCTAAACAGTTGAGGACATGGACTTCTCATTGGGGTTAACTAAATGGTCCAACCTATCATGGTCAATTCTACAATAGCCAATTAAATAATTAATCAATAAGTACTTAATAACAATAGACCATAATTTATATTAATAATTGATTATTGTTAATTCATAATGGATTAATTATTTAATTAATCCAACATTCTCCCAATTGGATAACAATAATAAATTATTAAAAATATTTAAATTTAAATTTTAATTATGGTCAAAACACTTGTTCACAAAAGAGAAGTAAACTTCAATATTGTAGAAATGAATCTGATATGGAAAACATATCATACAAGTCAAAGAAATATATTTTATATTAAAATGATGAATTTAGAGAAACATATTTCATATGAGAAAAATATGTTATTAAACAATGATCCAAGCATATAAATAAATGTTATTGATAATACTCTCACTAACCCTGAATATCATAAGACTCACTCATGTGTATAAGTCTGTGGTCAGTGATTTACTAATGAGTTTTTAAATTAAGGTCTTAGAATATTCATATAGGCCTAAAAATAGTAATTACATATAGGAATTACTCTATTTACGAGAGTAATTACATTTAATCTTAAGTACCTTCAATACACAATAGCATACTCGATAAGAGTATTGATATTTACTTGTACTTTCATATTATGACCAGACAAAAGTGGATTATTGAAGTTGGAATAACACAATATTATTGCATGCTAAAGAATTATTGTGTCCTTTCAATATTGACCTAAACATCAAATAATGTTTCTTGAGATTAAGAGAATAATATTTATCTCAGTATAATAGAATAAGACTCTTTATAGCATATTGTATATTTTGAAGTCTTTTTAAAATATGTCATATTTTATAGTGCACACAAGAATATATGACAATATGAGAATAATAATTTAAATTGTTTCAGATTATATAATTATGTACGCATGCACTCCCACTGATCCTACATGTATATAAGATTTTTCAGAATTCACTAGTATTATATACTCTGATTATACAATGGGATACTAATTAAATTTCTATTGCAAAACAATATAGATAAGTGATTGCATAATATATCATCAATAGTGTTTTACAAACTCAACCACATATTTTACACATAAATAGAATATATCATTATTGATATAATTTCATATGAAAGAGTATGACGGTCATATAAAAGAAGTTTACCATCATTTGAGTGTGATCAAATCCCTATAGTTTTAAATATAGGATTATATACAACATCTTAATAACTCACTCAAATCTCAAATGCTACAATTATAATCACACACATTTGAGAAACATATTATGTTATTAGTAACTGAAAAACATGAGACTTAACTTTAACTATTATTGAAGATATAACACAAATAGTCAAAAACTTTTATTACTAACATAAGACTATAATATCTTCAATATAAGTCTCCATAAATAATGTTATATTAAATAAATAATATTTGTTTCTCAATTCTAATATAAGTGATATGTTAAATTCTCCCACTTGATAGATAATAATTGTTGAATTATTAACTCAAAGGTTTAAAAAGTATTTTAAACATATACTCAACTATTTTATCTATCACACAATTATCATGTCAAACAATATCACACCGATAGAGTATGTCCATCACTTACATAATTAGAGAATTAAAATCTATTTTAATAAAAAATTTAAAATAAATGAGTGGATTTCATAAAGTATTACATGTTTATAAAATAATTTCTTATTTATCAAAGAATAGTTTCAACAATACTAAATAAAAAATATAACAATGTAGAAATATTACATCACTAAAAAAAATCATAATACTGATAGAGTACTCGAATCATAATTTACGTAATCTTAACTAACAAGTACATTGAACAACATAAATTATATTAACAATAATACACTCATAGGGTATAATTATAATCAATATAATATTTATTGTAATTAAAATAAATTTAATTATTTTACTAAACAAAATTTATACAACTATACCCACAATAAGTGAGTTACAATCATACAAATTAAAATAATTATATTTTATTCAAAATAGAAAAATTTATATAATTGTATTTATGACAAGTGAAATTACAATTATAAAAATTAACAGTGGTTACTTAATTATCTAGAATATAACTCTCAAATAATAAGATTTTAAATATACTAAGACAAATTTTTTACTTATATATTTATATATATATATATATATATATATATATATATATATATATATATATATATATATATTATATATATATATATATATATATATATATATATATATATATATATATATATATATATATATATATATATATATATATATATATATATATATATATATATATATATATATATATATATATATATATATATATAATATATATACTATATATATATATATATTATATATATATATATATATATATATATATATATATATATATATATATATATATATATATATTGAAAATAAATAGAGTTTTAATTTCAAAATATTCTGAAAAATAATTATATTTATATAATTGCACGAGTATAAAATATTATAAACAAATTTCTCCTTATATGAAATTATATAATATGTCACAATATATTTAAAATAATAATTAAATTACAACTAACCTAAATTTTTTTAAAGAAACCATATCATTCATCTTTGTCTGGAAAACCATTAAACTTTGATGAGTTGTAAGATTTAACGAGACGGCCAATAATAAATTGAACATTGCAATGTCGTTTCAAAAATAATTCATGATCAAATGATAAATCGTTATACTATATTATAAGATTAACTATAATTTCAAATATATAAAAAATTCATAAAATAAATTTAGTCCCAAAAAAGTTACAAAACATAATTTTTGGAATCAAACCATTATTCTTTAATTAACTATATATTATATATAATTATATATATATATTATATATATATATATATATAATATATATATATATATATATATATATATATATATATATATATATATATATATATATATATATATTATATATATATATATATATATATATATATTATATATATATAATATATATATATATATATATATATATATATATATATATATATATATATATATATATATATATATATATATATATATATATAAACTTGAATGTTTCATTCATAAACAAAATTTTGAATTAGTTAATTATACAATAAAATTTATTCTGTAATGACACAAAATAAATTTATTTATTTATTTGTATATATAATATGTCATGAATGAGGAAGGATCATTCACACACAATTTTAAGAAATTTACAATCATACTAATATAAAATAACAACTCAATTTTCTTATACAAGTTGTGTTTTAATTTTTTTTTTAGTCACACATACAACAAAAAATAGAAAAGGAACCCTCAATCAGTTTTGTGAAACAATTGCATAATAGAATTATTAATTTGAAATAAAATGAGAATGAAAATTGCCAACAATAAAATCAATTGGATCTAAATATCCATGAAGTGCATGAACAATTTTGAAATAGCCATCGTTAATAATTTAAAGGTTAAAAAGAATCCTATATAAAGAATAGCAAATTTGATTAAAGCAAATTTTAGATTAAAAACTCAGGATTCAACACAGACAAATATCCAAAAATATCTATTTTATATTATGCAGGAACCTGAAAAAATTAGTCGACGAAATCACTCAAATCCACCATTCTGCACAATTCATACATCATCTCAAATCAAACAATAGCAATAATAGCATTTTACAATTGTGATTCGAACAATAGCCATAAAATATATGTAATGTGCTCTGATATCAATAGATGAATTTAACTAAATCGAAGAGACACAAATTATAACATATTATAAATCAAAGAATAATCAAGAATAATATGAATAGTGTAACTTGTAAGATTCTAGAGATTATCAATGTACCTTTTAGAATTATAAGGATTGTCATCGGAAAGTATGAGAAAATTACTAATTGATGTTTAGGATTTCAGAGTATATTAATTATTTAATGGAACAACACTTAAATAGTTAAACCGCTCACAGCAGATACCTCTCATTGAGTTTAATTAAATGATCCAACGCATCACGATCTATTCCGAAATCATGTGGTCACGATGCAGCCCCAGCCGCAAAACCTCCAACGACAACCGCACCGCACACAACGACCAAGCTCTGAACATACCCTCCGAAGCAGCAACGCCTCCATACAATCGCGACCAGTCTTTCTCTGTCGACCACGCACACCAACCCTCCGCACCTCCAACCCACCACTGCGAAGCTTTCAATTTTATTGTGAGATGTGAGTTTTTTCTTTGATAAAGACGAAGGATGAGAAGTTTTGTTGGGAGCATGAAAAAGACGAAACACGAAGTAAGAGAACTGACAACACTCTTTTACCTTTGTTTTCTTATTATAAATAGCTCGCCACGTGTCAATTTTTCATTTGGTATCACTTTGATTTGAAAAGACAAGAGTATTTTCATTACTAGCTTATAGTTATAAAAAAAAAAAAACATATTTAAGGGTTAACGGCCTTCTATACATCTTTGTTATTATATATCATTTTATTTTGTTTTTATTGAAGGATTCTAGGTTTTAAAGAAGTTGGGTAATTGGGCTCTAACCATAATTCATGCTAACTCATACCCCCCACAACTTTTTGTATTATTTTGTTTTCTTTTTTATTTTCATATTTTGATATTATATTTTCTTATTCTTATTTCTTGTAAATATTATAACTTAATTTATATTTATTTAATTTGATTAATTAAGTTATTATAAAAAAAAATACGAACTTGAAAATAAAATCATAAACATGCACATAATTCAAACATTTTTTCTAATCAAATTAATTCAAATATTTCTACAAATAATAGGATAGGTGGATTTTATATCCACTACATCCTCGAATAATCAATTGATTGGTTCAATGTCTTACCTATTAATTATTCAAATCAAAACATAAAAAATTCATTCAACACATCAAATCAATTTCTTTGTCTTGCGCGATTTAATTCTAATAAGGATCAACTCCTTATAAAAATAAATTTCTTCGTCCCGCACGATTTAATTTTAATAAAGTTCAACTCTTTATCAATCAATTGAACTTAAAACAGCTAACCAATTGAAATCCTTTTTTTACTAGCATAATCAAAAATTCAAGATTTTTTCAATAAAGGATTGTCCAGTTACTTTCTATTTTAATATAAGAACTTCACCTACCATCACTCAACTTTCAAACTCAGGAAAACTCAAAATCATTCGAAAGAAACTTAATAAGATCCTATAAAAAAACACCAACTAAACACCTTTGAACTAAGAAGGACTTTGATTTCTTCGTAAGAGGATACGTAGACACACGGTTCAAAAACCAAGGTGAGTCCACTAACTGAAAAAAACATTTTTTTTCTCGGTTTATTTTCTTACATGGTATTTTGATAATTAAATAAAGAAATATTCCCATTAAGTCCTAGGTCTAAAAGAATCTCTTTGAGTACAAGTGAGGTAAAGGGTGCCTAATACATTCTCTTCATCTAATTAACTCGCGAATCCAGTAATATTTGAAATAAATTAGGGTTTTTCATTTCTTTCCCGTCCTTAGGACAAAAAGCAGTGGTGGTGAATCTCTTATTTTTTACGGGTTACGACACCTATCCTAATGGAGTAGCGAATGATGTGCTAGTGAAGGTGGACAAATTCTTGTTTCTGATTGACTTTGTTGTTATTAACATGGAGGAATATCATGACACACCATTTATTCTTGGGCGACCTTTTATGAAGACCACTAGGATGATTATTGACGTTGATGACGGTCTAATGAAACTTAGAGTTCATGGTGAAGAGGTTTGTTTTAATCATTTTGAAGCCATGAAGCATTTCAAAGATACAAATGATAGTTTTCGAGTTAATGTTATCGAAGAAGATATTTGGGATGTTACAAGCCAAGTTCATCTTTAAACACCTCTTGAGAAAATCTTAACCAATGCACTTCAAGTTCTTATTGCTAATGAGGAGAAAGAAATTGTAGAATGTTTGAAAGAACTTGAGTCTTTGGAAGAAGTTCGTCCTTGGGAGGAAGAAGTTGAAATTTTGAAAAAGGAAGTGAATGAAGAAGATTCAAAACATGAGTTGAAGTTGTTACCTTCACATTTGATGTATGTATTCCTTGAAAGTGGTGGCAACAAACCATTGATCATTAACAATTCCTTATCTGACAAGGAAGAAATGAAATTGATTCAAGTTTTAAAGGATAATTACAAGGTTATAGGTTGGGTTTTGTCCAATTTAAAAGGAATTAGTCTGGCTAATTGCATGCACAAAATCATGATTGAGGAAGAATTCAAGCCGGTAGGCGTTTAAATTTGGTAATGAAGGAATTGGTGTGAAAGGAATTTGTCTAGTTGTTAGATGCAAAAATGATTTATCCTATCTCGGATAATGCTTGGGTTAGTCCGGTGCAAGTAGTTCCAAAGAAGGAGGAAATGACGGTGATAACTAATGACAAAAATGAGTTGGTTTCAACAAGAACCGTGATCGGGTGTAGAATGTGTATTGATTACCAAAGGCTTAATAAAACAACAAGGAAATATCATTTTCCTCTACCATTCATGGATTAAATGTTGTAGAGATTTTCGGGACAACAATTCTATTGCTTCTTGGATGGATACTTTGGCTACAATCAAATTTTTGTTAATCCAGAGGATCATGAGAAAACTGCTTTCACTTGTCCTTTTGGTGTTTTTACGTATCGATGTATGCCTTTTGGATTATGTAATGCGCCTGCGATATTTCAACAATGTATGCAAGCTATTTTCTCTGACTTGATTGAAAAGACAATTGAAGTTTTCATGGATGATTTCTCCATTTTCGGAGCATCTTATGAATTGTGTTTGAGAAACTTAGACATTGTACTGAAGCGGTGTGTGGAATTAAATTTGGTTTTGAATTGGGAGAAGTCTAACTTCATGGTTACAGAAGGCATCGTTCTTAGGCACAAAATTTCATCAAGAGAGATTGAAGTGGATAAAGCCAAAGTGGATGTGATTGAGAAGCTTCCCCCACCAACCAATGTCAAAGGAATCCAGAGTTTTCCTAGCCATGTCGGCTTTTATAGGAGATTCATCAAGGATTTTTCAAAAATTGCAAAGTCTTTGAGTAATCTTCTCAACAAAGACAAGACATTTCTTTTTGATAATGATTGCTTACTTGCTTTTAAAAGTCTTCAATAAAAATTGATTAGTGCACCCATAATCATTGCACCAAATTGGACACTTGATTTTGAACTTATGTACGATGCAAGTGATTATGCGGTGGGAGTGGTATTAGGACAAAGAAAGAACAAATTTCTTCATGCAATACACTATGAAAGCAAGGTTTTAAATGATGAACAAATGAATTATGCAACAATAGAAAAAGAATTGATTGCAATTGTATTTGCATTGGAGAAAGTTCGTTCTTACCTTATTGGTTCAAAAATTGTTTTTTTACTGACCATGCAGCTATCATGTATTTGCTCATCAAGCTTGAGTCAAAACAAAGGCTTATTAGATGAATTCTATTACTTCAAGAATTCGATCTTGAAGTCTGTGATAAAAAAGGATCATAAAACTTGGTGACAGATCATTTGTCAAGGCTTGTGAACCATGAGGTGACCAAATTTGAAAAAGAGGTTCTTGAAGATTTTTCGGATGAATAATCTATGAGGATTTAAGAAATACCTTGGTTTGCAGACATAGCAAATTTTAAAGCAGCAGGGTTGATACCTGAATATTTAATGGGTAATAAAAGAAAAAGTTTCTTCGGGATGCAAGATACTTTGTTTGGGACGACCCATGTAATGCTCGTAATTTAATTAATTATGTAATTAATTTATGTTTGGAATATTTGTGAAGATGTTTGGTGATTAGTTGGATTTACTTATTTTATTAAGTGGTGAAATAATATTATGAGAAGGATGATATTATTTAATGTGGGCTTGTTTGAAAGGAATAAAAGTAGTAAAAAGGGGGGTGTATTAGTTTTAAGCCCATTAAGGAATAAAGAGAATAATAGGTTATTTTATTATTGTTAGAAATAACAAGAAAGAAGAAGCAGTAGAATAATAAGGGTTAGAGGAAGAACGTGGAAGCTGTTGGAAAAGAGGAAAAGAGGCAGAACGGGAATTCAACCGGAAGTTGTAGAGCAACCTTCAATCCAAGGTAAGGGTGGGGTTCTGACTCTATAATAGGGTTTACGATAATTGGTTTATGGGATTAGATGTGAAAATATTATCTTGTTCATGATTTGAATGTATATGATGTTGTATGATGAGAATCGATGAATTATAGATGAATAACGCTATCTCAATGTTGTATATATGATGTAGAATTATAGGATAATTATAATTGATGATTATTTATGATTATAAGATGTTTTTAGGGCCTAAAGTATGGAACCCGTAGTGAAAACGAAGAGAAAATCACAGAAAATATCCTTAGCAGAGAAGTATGTGTCGACCCCAAATGGTATGTGTCGATATATGAATGATGTTAGACTCAGGATGAGTCGACACGAATGAGTCATGTGTCGATACATGAGGACTTTCATACTCAGGATGAGTCGATACGTAGGAGCATGTGTCAACACATGCAGTGTTGCAGACTCAGGATGAGTCGATACAAGAGTGTATGCATCGACTCATGTGGCGTGTTAAACTCAGTACGCGTCTACCCAAGGAGTTATGCATCAATCCATGTTGTCTGGTTTTTGGCAGAATCAGTTTGAGAAGGTCGTAACTTGAGTTTTCGGATTCCGTTTGAGGTGTCGTTCGAAGCGTGGAATAGCTAACACGATGAACTTCATTCTTAAGGATTAAAACAAAGAATAGGAGGGATAATCCTAGTATCCAAAGTAGGATTTGAATTAGTTCCCGTGTTGATCGTTAAGTTGATTTCTTTGAAGAATGATGAGGATGAGATGTATATAGATTGTTATTTGGTTCGTAACAGTAGGATGAATGATGATAATGATACAATATTACAGATTAGTAACATGCAGAGGTTTGGTAATTTAGAAGTAAGCCTTAGTTGATTAACTAGTTATAGGCGAATTATGTTGTAGGCCTATGGCCAACGTTGCGAGATTGACGAATTGCTGTTGTAATGTTGTTGTGGCTGAATTGCTGCGAAATATATGTTGTATGTATATATGATGTGATGAATTATATGTTGATATATGATGTTGATAAAAGATGTTGAGACACCTCTAATAATTGGCAGCTTTTAAGATGTAGGCTCTTGGCCAACGATGATGTTTGTGTTGATATGTTGTTAATTACGGTGTTGTCATTACATTCATGACTATGTCGCATACA